TTTTCATGCAATTTATTATGAAATGGCGACTCTTCCTGGCGCCTTCGCCAAAAAATTTACTTCCAGGAGCAAATTTTTCAACATCCTACTGTTAATGCAATGTTCATAAGGATCTCTGATTTTTCTATCACATATAACTTGCTGATAATGTAGCTTTCTGTAGGTGGAATCATTTTTACACCGGTTTAGTAGCATATGCAAGACCTTGACCTGTGAGACAACTAGCATAAACGTCTGTTGGAGATAATTCAATATCTAGCGTGGTATTAGCTGGGAACAGCGGTCATTTACTCGAACCAACTCTGTAGGTATGTTAGAAGCGATGAATGTTTTGAGATTTCATTTGCAAATATTTATTTCCGTATCAATACGAATCCTCTCAATATAATGTTAACAGGCCTACGATCTGTGAAGTCCTATGTACTAGGTATGTAGTATTGTAGTATGGAATTTCTTTTTATGAGAATGATACAATGACTTTTGGACTATAAAATTAAAAACTGATATAAACGTACCTACTTCAAAAAACTGAATTCATATTTGCTTTTAAATAAATATTTTCCTTTAATCATACAATAAACTGTAATAATTAGTTTCAATATGGATTTTCATCTAGTATCGGCCAAATATTTTCCTGATAGAATTTAAAGTAGTGAAGTTGTTCAATAAACAACTTTTATCCCAAAGGTGCGCCAAAATTCTGAAAAATTTTCATATTTTTTACACCAGAACAAAGACACTGTTTATAGACCCGTCAAAGTTGATTTTCTATGCAAGATTCCTTTGATCCCTGAGGAACTTTAATCTCTAGCGATTCAAATCCAACGTTACTTTCGTACAGGCACCGCTTTTAGAGCGCTTTGAGGATTTTCCTGTTGTGCTTGTGTTGTGTCCTTAAAAAAATCCTGGTTCTTTTTGGGTACAGACTAAACTTGAGCTATCTTCAAAATAGAAGGCAAACCCCATTTTTCGGCACACGGATCAAATAAACTGCAGAAGACTGGTACAAGTTGGAGCCGATGCAACTGTACTAATAAGGCTTACCTGTTTACGAGAAATCAATGAAATGGCATTTCATTAAAATTATTCACGTAAAATAGTGTTTCCGTAGATTTTCTCCAATATGTCAGTTCCTTCGCAGGAGTGGCAAATTATTCCCTTCGCGATACTTAATTTTCTACACTCAACTCCAGGTCTAGGCGACCCATAATGAATAAATAATCACCTCCTAACGAGTATTGGATTTGCACCAGGTGAAGAGTTTGACGTGCCACATTTATGAATTTTAATTTTTATTAACACAACAGGATGTCACTATCGCCACTTTGGTAAATATTCGTCAAAGTAAATAGTTATTAGGCCGCCCTGAATGCTTCACATCGACAGACATCGACCAGGCGAGAGTTTAATGAATGTCATATATAAATAGGAGTTTGATTATCGTTTGAAAAGCGATCTTGGTAACGTCCTCTTGTAATAGAAACGCATGTTTGTTTGCCATAGACTGAACTTGAGAGGGGCAGGTGACTAGCACCCCGTTTATTTATAAACGCGCGGGAGACATTCTGCAGGCTTCATATCTAAACAAGAGTGCTATCGAAACGCGTATATTTTTATACACCGTCCTCAATAAACATTTAATGTCGGTCTCCGTTCATACGTGCAAACTGGTCTGTTATTGAAAACCCGTTGATATCTTTATTATATAAACTTTTCCTACCTCCGTCATCTCTTGAAAATACAATATACAGTTCCACGAGCTGTAGGAGCAGGACTTGCAAAAGGTGAACAGAATTATATCAGTTCTATACTCGAGGCACTAGCCATCATTTGGTGACCCCAAAACTCGTAGTTTCTGGAGACTTCAACATTAACTTTGCCATACACTCTAGAAATATTAAGAACTTGCTGATTTATGTTTTGATAATCATCTATAAAAATGTAAAATTAATCGACTATCGTCAACAGTGAATATTTTATAGTAATATTGCAGCGTTTGAAGGCCAAAATTGCAAAGAAACGACCGCATATGGCAACGAAAAAAATGTTGTTACATCAAGACAGCGCACTGTATCACAAGTCAATGAAAACAATGGCGAAACTATATGAAATGAACTTTGAATTGCTCCACATCCACCGTATTCGCCAGATTTGGCTCCCAGCGACCACAGGCTGTTCGCTAACTCTGCCAGTTAGAAATTTCGCTCGAATGTAGAGGTTATTACTGAAACTGAGGCCTATTTTGAGGTAAAAACTAAATCGTTCCACAAAAGTGGCATTGAAATGTTAGAGCCGCTCTGAAATGATGTGTGACTCTAAAGCCAGTCCAGACAGACTAAGGCAACGGCAGATGCAATCAATCATACAGTAAAGAAAGTGAATTCATCATTTGGTATCTAAGTTAATTCAGCAGAAGCTTTTGGTACAATATGCCATGGAACTTCATAAAACAGGCAAAAAAATCTAATGATTATCCCCGAACATGTAGTAGGTAGTCAAAATTTTATTTTCAATTATTAATGAACCGTCTGCAGAATATATGGCTATAAAAAACATTTCAAAATGATTGACATATTATATTTTTGTGGAAGATGTTGAAAAATCCATTGAAACTGCTAGGATTGTCATTCTGGAAAGTTCATAATTGTCACTCATTACTGTGGCAGTTTCATTTATAAAAAATCGGTATTGATCCCTTAGGGCCATTTAGAAAAAGTAAAAAAAAAATAATCCTATTATCACATGCTCCCAAATATATGGAAATTTCTGCAGCTTCAAGTGGCAAGACAGAATTAGCAGCAAAATTCATTGTGCAAAATATATGGTTGCACTAAAGGAATTATATAAGATGATTCATAGCCATGAGTTCAAAATTAATAATAATATGTCTGTCAGTAACTATAATTCATCTCCTGATGGCGCCAACTCCATTGTTGAAACCATAAAAAAGTAACAAACCCAAAGGACTAACTGGTTTTTAAATTGTTTGGTTCTTTCGAATCTTTCAGCGACTGATGCAGAAAAATTTGCTTGCTGCTGAATTCAGATAAGTGTGTTGTTATGAGTTTTTATCACTGTCAATGATCAATTCGATATGATTGATTACTGAAGTATGAAAGATATTGAAAAGGATCTTGGAGATATATTCACAAATTACTAGATCTCACTGAAATGTATATCTTCAGAGCTAGTCATAATTCTCAGTTGCCTTTCGTATTCAAACCACAAACTAGAGAAGGTTCAAAATGAATTCTGGGGTCTGTAGCATTCAAAATGAGACTTCAGGTGGACTATTATGATAATAATAGTATTATATCTATTTATAATATGAGTATACTCAAAAGCAAACTTATCCATTAAATCTGGATAACTTGAACTTGAGAGTCATACATAGAAAAACTACCTTCCAGAAAATTCACCAAAATAAACAAATTTCCAACAATTTTCCAGTTTAATAATTATATATAAAATTATTACAATGTGTTAAAACAACGATAAAAATTAAATAAATACAACAATAAAAATTAATTGGCGCTCCGGGGCGACTTCATTGATTCCAGTGGCGCATTTGCTTTTTCAGCTGCAGGAAAACCCGGAAAAACCTGCAGCACCACATCATCTGAAGATCTTGATCTAACAATGTCCTCTCTCTCATAAAACAAAATGTAGGGTGTCTCCAGAGGCTCCAATAAATTCAATGCATCGCCAGAACACTTCGTGACACGACTATCGTCAAACTTAAACCAGTCCGTTTCTTCTTTGACCAAGGCGTAATAATGACCACATTCAACGCCAGAACCACAGTGAACAATGACTGCATGAATATTATAACAGTGGTCTGCTAGGTTGAAATGTTCATCTATTTCGAACCTTCCAAAGAGTTTCTTGCTTCCGTTAGAGGTTGAGTCTTGTTTGAAAATCATCAGTGTTATTATTAGATTGACTGGTGCCTCAGCTATACTTGTTTCCTTATAACAGTCAGTTAGTTTGGCGCATGTTTGACAATACAGTTGATCATCACCTGTTAAAAATTCCTTTTTCAGATGATTTAACAATAAGCATTGCACAGACTGGTTATTAGACATATTAGGAAGAGCTAGATGAAGTTCCAGAAATCAACATAAGTTTTCAGTACTTCTTGAACATTTACCACAAAGTAAACAAGTGAGGATTTTTCCAGCAAAAGATTTACAAACACAAGACGAGATGGGTTGTACGGAATCATTCAGTCCAAAGCGGCTGGGAGTATTGATTTTGCTATTGTTTTGCTCACGAAGAGTATTCAACAAGAACCCCAAGAATTCGGAACAATCCTCTTGTTGTCCTAACGAGTATCCAGTGGACTTCAAAGACTCCAGGAAATCGGTTGGAGGGAAAGATGATACCTTCTTACGAAACTGCAGCTGCATGAACAGTTGTTTGAGTTTGATGAATAAGCAGGAAACATTCTCGTTCTCGTTCATCATTAAAACTTCGTTCTTGAAATTCTTCGTCATGAACAACACTTGTAAAATGCTATTCATGTAACAAGTATTTCCTAAATTATCCAATCCAATTTTCTTCTCTAGATTTTCAGGACAACTCTCTACTGATTCGTGAGGAAGAACACGTTTCACAGAATCTCCATAAGAACCATTTCTCAAGCTGCGATCGATCCTTCCAAGTGAAAAAGGGTTTCGTAGAGGGATTGATTCTACATCATGGCGATGTAGAAATACAAATTGTCAATTTTCAATTCAGTTGTCAATTTGAATCTGTCGATTGACGCTTTCCAAATCTGTCAACTGACTTTTGCTGATCTGTCATTTGACAACTTAAAAAGTGTCAATGCACATGAATAATTCTCACAATGAGCCTAAGATATGTTCTAGAAATTTCATTTTGAAAAGGTTATGATGAAATATTTTGAAATCTTTGGAAAACCATCATATTTCCAAGTCCAACCTCCCATATGGGTTCAGTTCACCGCTCGAAACTGACTAAGTTTCTTTTTGTTTCAGCAGTCACACGGCAGCACTCTGGACCGATGGAACTTCTGCAGTCCTGAGGAGGAACCTCTGGTCCTCCAACAGTTTCTGAGGTTTGGAGAAACAAGAGCCATTACGCAACAACTGCTCCTGGCGCAACAGGCCCTTCAGGACCCCACACTGGAGCGCCTGGAGCGTCAACACTCGCATCACCCACGCCGGGCGATGTCCCCCAACCATCGTCCATCGCATCCAACTGTTCCGACCTCTGCTTTCCACCCGACTAGACTGCCGACAATGGCTCCCCATCAGAAGCACCCGCTCAACTTTATGAAGTTGCCAACGCCTAACGGGCCAATTTCTTCCAACTCGCCCCCAAGGAGCATCAACACCAGCCCTCTGAACTCTTCTCCGCTGAACCGGTTACAGAACATGCAGCCGTTCGACTACAGGAAACTTGGAGCCGGTATCGCAGGGTTTCCCACCAGACTCAGTCCTGATCACCGGAGGATGCCGGAACATGAGCCAGTTGGGTTGAACCTGAGCAGAACCACAACGATGGCCTCTTGCCTGCCCCCGCCTCCACCTCCTGCGTCGCTGAGCCATTCGGCCGCTGCCATGGTGGCAGCTTCCGTGAATTCTTTGGCAGCTGCTAGTCTGGTGGCTTCTTCATTTCCGAACCTCATGTCCACCAGGATGTCCACTGGCAGTAAGTCACCTTCCAGCGCGGACATTCTCAGCGGAAATACCAATAGTGAAGAGGACGAGGACGGTGACGAAAACTCACACAGTGCTTTGAATCTAAGTAGGGACAGGGATGCACTGAAGACGCCAAGGCATTCGCGGATGCTTCCTGGTAGGAAACCGTCCACGCCGACGAAGAGACAGTGGGGGTCGCCTAGTTTGCCTCTCAACTTGGGGACGCAGTTCATAAACCCAGCGACGGGGAAGAAACGCGTGCAATGCAACGTATGCCTGAAAACATTTTGTGACAAAGGTGCCCTCAAAATACATTTTTCAGCCGTACACCTACGCGAAATGCACAAATGTACGGTTGAAGGTTGTAATATGATGTTCAGTTCGAGGAGATCGCGCAATCGGCACAGTGCAAATCCCAATCCCAAATTGCACTCTCCCCATCTCAGAAGGAAAATATCGCCGCATGACGGAAGAAGTTCGCAATCGCACCCAATCCTCATTCCACCTCAACCGGGGTTGTCGCTACCCGCTGCCGCGGCTGCTCTGAACCCTCTGAACCCATTCGGCCCCTTTCCTCTTCTCACTCCGCCTCCAGACATGAAGTACCATTCGCTTGCTTCGATGGATTTCAAGCAGTCGCTGGACTTAAGCCTACAGCGATTGAAAGAAAATAAGACTTGCTTTCAAGACTACAGCGCTATGGCTCTCTCCGGCCAACTCCACTCCGAAGAAGACGACGAAGACGACGATGGAATCGTGGTAGTGGGTGGTGACGAAGAAGACGAACCAGTGGATAAAAAGGAGGCGATGAACGGCAGCTCCTTTCCTGACGAACCCGAAGACTTCAGCATGCCCAACAAAAAGCAGAAGAGGTCAATTTCCGACGTAGAGGAAGATATCGCGAGTAATGTGGACAGTAACGAGGATTCGCTAAGCGTCGTCGATACCCATAGCCTCAAAGATGAACCACATATCATAGTGAATAAGAGAAAACGGAAAAATCAGAATCCAACTAGGTGTGCTATACCTACAATGATGGAAGACGCTGCAAGTGACTGTGATTCCTCCAATGACGTGTTTTCCGAGAGATTGGCAGAACAAGTCAAAATCGAACACGAAGATAACCCAGAACATGCACCTGTGGAGATCAAAATGGAGGAACCTGCGGAACATACGCCAGAAGATATATGTGATACTCCTCTAGATTTAGGAAAGAGGAGCCCAGACGTAAATGCTAATGAACCGGAGAAAACCTTGAGTACGGAAATAAAAACTAGTATAGCTCCTCTATTCACCATAGACAAACTGAAGAAGGAAAAGCCGTTCCTTGAAGTTGAAAATCAAGAAGAGCAGGAAGAACGACCTGCCAGCTCGGTGGAAAGTAATAAGAGTGACGAGTCTTTCGATTCGACAAATCCACTGAGACAACTGGAGAGTCTTTCTCACGGACACTTTGGAGACCTGATGGCGAGGGGACTGCACTTAGGCTTGGGAACACAGCCTCCGCAGTTTCCCCCCCTAGGTTTTATGATTGGAGCAGGACCTCCCAGTCCTGCCCGGTCACAGGCATCCTCTGCGGGAAGTAGTAATGACAGAGAGTCCCCTGATGAAAATAGTCAGCACCAATTGTTCGGCCACTTTGACAACGGTCAGTTCATCAGTACCATGGATGTTCCCGTGGACAAGGACAATCCTAGAAGATGCACTGCCTGCGGAAAAATTTTCCAAAATCATTTCGGGGTGAAGACGCATTACCAGAACGTGCACTTGAAGCTTATGCATAAATGTAACGTAGATGGGTGTAATGCTGCGTTTCCTTCGAAGAGGAGCAGGGATAGGCATAGCGCCAATTTGAACTTACATCGAAAACTCTTGTCAACTTCATCCGATAAAGGAGTAGGTTTATTTTTGGAGAAATCCCCATTTGCTAGCCTAGCTAATCCAGCTTTGCACGGAGATTTCCTCACGAGGTTATACACTGAAGAAGCTATGAAAGGTCATCATCTGCCACCCCCGAATCTAGACCAACTGATGCTTAATGGCGATCGAATACCTCATCCTCCCTTACTGTTGCCTCCTCTTGGAGGTCTTCCTTTCCCCTTGGGAAACTTCAACCACTTTGGCCAGTTTAATGGAGCTTCAATTCCCACCGTGCACAAGGAACGTTCCTCCACTTCCAGTTCACCAGTGTCCGGTTCTCCACCTCCATCTACCATATCTCCTCTTCCCACGAAGTATATCCACTGCGTGGAGGAAGACCTTCCCACTCCGGACAAGGAGGGAAACCTTCCCTGTAGGTTGTGCAGAACAGCGTTTTGCAGTACTTCCCAATTGAAAGAACACTGTGAGAAACATCACATATCAGAGATGTTCAAGTGCACCGTAATAGGCTGTCCGAAAGTTTTCGTTTCTCGAACGAGAAGGAACATTCACTCAGAAAATGAATCGCTCCACGCTAATTCTTCTTCGAAGGAGAGCGACGTATCGTGACCTTCGAAGCATTTAGACTTTAGCGCAATACCTTTGTGGTGGTGAATTATGGAGTACTTGATACATGTGATTGTAGAATATTTATTAATTTTCCTGAAAGCCAGTTTCTGTATTCCTATTTATTACGAGAGAGTCCTGCACCACTTTTTGGGTTATATTTTTTTAATTTTGTATTATATTTAGCCAGTCTTGAAAATACTCAGATTGTAAATATGAAGTAGCTTTAGTGATCTCCTCAAGTTGTGATTTTTTGCAGATATGCTATAAAAGTAATACAATGAATTGCTCAGTTATATAATCGAATCCGTTCAATATAGAAAATCTGCAGCAATGAATGACTGTGTCTACCAAAATATACTCCAGTTTCCTCTCTGTCAAGTTGAAATACATGTTGCTTGAATCGTAACTGAAATCGTTATATAACAGTTGTTGTCTCCATTATATCCTCTATCAGTGATGAAAGTTAGTAATCTCAAAAATGTATATTTAATGTGCAATAACTTTGTAAATACGCTCTATCGCTTGTAAATGTATAGATGTATATATACCAACTATGTTAAAATTAATATTGAATTGTTCATCGTGGTTTTCGAAAAGCCTGAATGTATACGAGAAAGTCCTGTAACGCATTACAACCGTGTTTATTTTGTACTGCAGATCCGAGACAGTGTCTGAAAGTACAGTACAGCATAGTTGAAATTAAGCCCGATTTTAATTTATTTCCATCCCGAGCACTTCTCTAATGTAAATTTGTTATTGCATATTCAAGACCCTTGTGTACAGTTGAAAAACATGTATTGCCTTTGGGCTCATTAAAACCTTATAGCTGTCGTAAGTTCATGGTTTTATTTCATCCTCTACAGCTCTAATTTCACAGTTAATCAGGAGACCAAAGCACTTGGTACGTAATTGTGAGTTATATTTATTTTAAAAAATCCACATTCTGTCTATGGTCACTTTAAAAAATGTCAGAGTTCAAAGTATGATATTTCAATCAATCAAATTATATTTTAATGTTTCACTGGCAAAGTCATCTACAATTTTCATTAATGATTGATATACATTCGCAATTTAAAAATACAGACAAATACGTGTATACATATTAGTCTAGTTCACATGTAAGTATTTTTTTTTGTAACATTTTTCAGCTCTGTCCAAAAATTACGACCAAGGTGTCATTCGATTCGTATTTTTGCCTAGAAAGTTTAAGGAAAGGTCCGAAAACGCGCCGATCAAAATTACAAAAGTTATAAACAATTAAGTGAAAAAAAA